AGATAATTTCAAAATATGTAGGGTTTGTAAATATTTAATTATAAATACCACGTCTGTGTACATACATAATATAATTGCAGTCTTTATAAAAGCCAACCTCTCCTCTTGGATATACTATTAATATATATCTTGTATTAATATACAGTGGTGGTCACGTAATTAAAACATTTACTGTGGAAAACATTTTTCGATCAGCCCTCGATTCGTTTGAAGTATTTTTGAACATTTTTTTAATTCAGAACACTTCGATATACTGCACTTAAGAAATTTAGTGTGAAAATAGAAAATTATTGCATGCAATTTTTCCATAAATAACGGTTTTTATGAAAATACATCGACTTTGAAGTGGCCATATAATTAAAACATTGTGTGAATTTTTACTTCACTGCATTTTTTGAAAATATTTTTTAAAAAAGCTCATTCATTTAGTTAAATTATGTAAACTAAGCACCAATAAAACCATTTACAGATAAAAATTTCTGAAAAAATCTGTAAAATCGATCAAAAATGCTAAAAATTTGTTCAGTACACCTAACATTCAGAAAATCACCCTTATTATAGATAATAAAGGTCCGAATGCACTAGAAATTGCTAGAATTAGTAAAACACAATTAACTCAACAAATGGGAATTAACCTAAAGGAACGATTTAATTTCAATAGCCTTTACTAAAGAAGGCCGGATATTTTTGCAGTATGTGAGAAAATATCGATTGATATTGGTATTTATCATATCAAATCGATTGTTCGAGTAGTACAGAATATATTTTATCAAAAAATATATCAATCACAACAGAACGAACAGAGATCAACGCCTATGTTGACGAGTAAAGGTTTCTGGCACACAGCAGCATTTTTGATGTTCAACACAAGTCTTCAAATATTTGTCAAACTGTAAAATTTTTCCTTCCTTGTTACTAAAATAGATTAAGTGGAAGTTATTCGATTCATAAAATATTATTTTGAAAAAATATTGGCATGTTCAATAGATTTGAAGGGTCAAGAGTTGACCATAAATCATGCTGCTGTGTGCCAGAAACCTTTACTCGTTAACATAGGCGTCGATTTCTGTTCCTTCTGTTGTGACTGATATATTTTTCATAAAATATATTCTGCACTACTCGAACAATCGATTTGATATATTGTATGCCAATATCAATCGATATTTTCTCACATATTGCAAAAATATTCCGGCCTTCTGCAATAAAGACTCGAAATTGAATAGATCCTTTATGCTAATTCCCATTTTTTGAGTTTTTACTTCAAATATTTGTTTATTTTGAGAATTATTTATTATTTTTTACTAATTCTAGCAATTTCTGGTGCATACGTTTTTTTTTTTTATAATAATGGTGTTTTCTGAATGTTAGGTGTACTGTACAAATTTTTGGCAATTTTGATCGATTTTACAGATTTTTTTTCAGAAATTTTTATCTGTAAATGATTCTATCGGTGCTTAGTTTACATAATTTAACTAAATTAAAGAGCTTTTTTAAAAATATTTTCAAAAAATGCAGTAAAGTAAAAAATCACACAATGTTTTAATTATATGGCCACTTCAACGTCGATGTGTTTTCATAAAACCCGCTATTTATGGAAAAATTGCATGCAATAATTTTCTATTTTCACACTAAATCTCTTAAGTGCAGTATATCGAGGTGTTCTGAATTAAAAAAAAAATTCAAAAATACTTCAAACGAATCGAGGGCTGATCAAAAAATGTTTACCACAGTAAAAGTTTTAATTCTGTGACCACCACTGTATATCTTATCAATGTTGTACTTTTGAATGAATTCGCCTTTTGTGTTTTGCTTTGTGGTGAATAACGTCGAACGAGCTAGTCAAAATTTACGTTGGTCTGCCATAGTTAAAATTCGATTATTGCCAAAAATCGGTTATTCGAGTACCAACCTCCAAATATGCCGTTGTCATAAAGCTTGAATTCGTCGAAATACTTCTGATACAGTTGTAGTGGTTTGAAGATAAGTATCATTTTCATTTTCAAAATGAGTGCTAAAAAAATCTTACCTTATAAAGTGGAGTATGCCGTAACTGGAAGAGCTACATGTAAAGGCTGCAAGATCATTATAACCAAATGGACATTGCGCATGGCTGCAATGGTTCGGGTATGTTTGAATTCATATCAAGGACCCATTCTGAATTATTTTTAAAATTCCATTTCGGAGGAAAATTTCGTAGAAGCGGCACTACCGGCAAAGCCTTATCGACAAGTGCAATAGTGAGCAACTTTTTCAAAAAAGTATATATTTGCTACGCATGTTTTTGCATAACATTTTGAAATTTTTACCATTTTTTTCTAAGGCTAATTACAACAATCGGGGAAATCAGTACTTCCACGTTGGAACCCGTGGAAGTTCCAAAAATACACTACATTTTATGAAATATCTTTAAGAATACCACTTCGAAACGTTTTACTGCAGATAGTCCTTTTGGTGTTGATCACACCCACATATTTTTTGAGTTCTTCATACTTCCGAAAATATGAGGTATTACAATTTAAATTGATACCGGGGGTTCAAGACTTTGACCTATGAATAGGTGGAAAATTTGGCTATGGGAGCAGAATAGCAGGCTTCGGCAGGGGATTTAAGGCTTTCTCCTATGAACAGATGGGACATTGGGCTACGCGAGCAGAATTTTCTTCTAATTTAAAGTTTTTTTCAGTATTTCTCAAGAAGTATGGATTTCCTCTCATAATAGTAACATCTTTCTTTAATTAGGTATAGTATACATACTTCTGCTGAACCAGAACAAACCGAGCTGAGTCCCCTAATTTGTATCCTTTATTTTTAAAATTTGAAACCCCACATTTCGGGAAGTACAAAGTTCTCTCCAAACAAATTTATGTTTATTATATTTCAAAAAAAAATATTTTGAAGGTTATTGCGGCATTTCAATTCAAATGGCTACAATTCGGTATTTCATGATTTAATAGTTTGACGTGAGATTATTATATTTTTTAATTTATTACATCTCTTGTACATATTTTTTTAATTTATTATGTATAGGAACAAAACAAAATATGCCATTTAAGTTACACAAAACAACATAACTTCTGCTTCTTATACTTATAAATTATTTTTATTTTTTAAATTCCTTTTCCAAATAACATTTTAAAATTGTTTCCTTGATTTCTTGTCAGCAATTAGGGTCGTACCTAAATTCATGCGTTTGCGTACGAATTTATTCACCTCAAAAGTTAAATGCATGTATTTCAATGAATGTTACCCAAATACGCATTGCGTATCAAAATATAAAGTTGAAAATTTTCAACATTGACAATGCGTATTTTAATTTTTTTTTTTTGAAAATAGAATTTCAGTCATTGAAAAATTTGTTTTTCTATACATGTAAACATTTTTCGATCAATTTAAAACATATTTTCATCCATTTTCGCCGTTTTCAATTTGCACATATACAAATAAAGTCCTTGCGTATTAAGGTAATACGGACGTCCAACAAACCCTATAAAGGTGAGAAGGTGGTGAGTATTTTTGTACGGAGCGCAGTAAATTAGGTACGACCCTTAAACAGGAGCCAAGGTCTATATATTATTATTATCCTTTATTTTTAAAATTTGGAACCCCACATTTCGGGAAGTACAAAGTTCTCTCCAAACAAATTTATGTTGTTTTATTAAAAATTTAAAAAAAAAATTATTTTGAAGGTTATTGCGGCATTTCAATTCAAATGGCTACAATTCGGTATTTCATGATTTAATAGTTTGACGTGAGATTATTATATTTTTTAATTTATTACATCTCTTGTACATATTTTTTTAATTTATTATGTATAGGAACAAAACAAAATATGCCATTTAAGTTACACAAAACAACATAACTTCTGCTTCTTATACTTATAAATTATTTTTATTTTTTAAATTCCTTTTCCAAATAACATTTTAAAATTGTTTCCTTGATTTCTTGTCAGCAATTAGGGTCGTACCTAAATTCATGCGTTTGCGTACGAATTTATTCACCTCAAAAGTTAAATGCATGTATTTCAATGAATGTTACCCAAATACGCATTGCGTATCAAAATATAAAGTTGAAAATTTTCAACATTGACAATGCGTATTTTAAATTTTTTGTTTTTTGAAAATAGAATTTCAGTCATTGAAAAATTTATTTTTCTATACATGTAAACATTTTTCGATCAATTTAAAACATATTTTCATCCATTTTCGCCGTTTTCAATTTGCACATATACAAATAAAGTCCTTGCGTATTAAGGTAATATGGACGTCCAACAAACCCTATAAAGGTGAGAAGGTGAGTATTTTTGTACGGAGCGCAATAAATTAGGTACGACCCTTAAACAGGAGCCAAGGTCTATATATTAGATCATCCAGTAAGGACAGCTGATGTCTACATACATATTTTCCCAAACTATGTTGTTTTGATTTAAATTTCAAAGAAAAAAAAAAACAGAATATACAAGGTTTATTCATATATTTAACAGGGAGGCGACTTCAAAGTCTCCATTGACCGTCAAATTTATTGTTTGAAGAATAAATAAACAAAAAATATTTTTGTTCGAACCAAAATAGATGTGCACATTACTATCACTACTTTTTTTGAAAGATATTTTGAGTTTTTATCCTGTTCTGGATAAAATGTTTACAGCAAGAGAAGGCTAAGGTATGAATAACATATAACATTTGATCATGATTAAGGGAAGAATCAGAGCTTATTTTCTTAATCAGGCTGAATTTATCATGATTTATCATACAAATTTTAATCATCGTGACATTGGCAACATTGCGCATCGCCAGTAGAAATTACGCACTTTGACATTTATTAAGACATCAGCTGCTCTAAATGATAAAGTAGCACGATGAGTACTCAATTTTCAGTGAATAGCACGACAGAACGGTATCTTTAGATCTCTTAACGCTTGGGTGCTCGATTCAATTCATATGTTGGCGGTATCGCTGTTGTGAAATTGTTGAAATTGTCTTGTTATTTACTCTCAGTGTTTGTAAATTGTTTGAAATGGATGTCTCTATTGAATTGCCTTTCAAAGCAGAATATGCCAAGACCGGAAGAGCTGGCTGTAAAGGATGTAAGTCCAATATTGGCCAAGGATCTTTGCGTATTGCTGCTATGGTCCAGGTATGTTCCTAATTTGGGGTAATATTAAAAAAAGCACCCGTTTGTGAATCAAGATTATATTTGTGAACATTTTGTAAATATCATGAACCATATCTCAAAATGAACAATAAAATGCATGCGGCCGCTAGCTATCAAATGCAGTACATCGGAATGTGTAGTGGCGCCGCCAAAGTACAAGTGATAGTGCTCTACCCCGGCATCTGAATGGAACAAATGCACTTTAAGAGTCGGCGGGATTTTTTGAAATTTCGACCAAAGGTAGGCCGTAGTGTCACCATCACATGAATATACGTAGATATCCATGTTTCGAGATGGAGACCTTACAGCCGGTTATACTATTTGGAGCATCTAAATTATGCATCAATTATAACAGTGGGCGGGTTACCACTCCACGTAATATTGCTCTATTTTTATTTTTAAGATATATTTGCCCTTTGGCTAAATAATAACAAGTTGATTTACCGGATTTTGCGGGAATTTTATTTATTTAGAGACGTCTGCTCTGTTGCATTATAAGAATACAATTGAATACAACTAAACATAATGATTATAAACTACCCATTACCACATTATTATTAAATAAATAATAATAATATAGTGAAGCTATCTCAGCATTTATGGAAAACCAAGTCAAAGAAAGTATTACCAGTCAAGTGCTGACTTTGCATACCAATACCCTGATAGCATTACTTCATATTATGTTTTGACTGGGTGTCAATGCCCTAATACTAATACTTTATATTAGGGTAAATAATTTCGTGTTAACTTCTATAGTTATCGATTTTTTGATTTTGTTAACTTTTTTTTACTGTCGCATAGCTTGGAAATTGTTGGTAGAAGTATTCGTATTTGTTCGATAACATGGGAATATTTTGCTTACATCGGAAAATTTGTATATTCCTACAAAGGATATATGGGTATACTTTTAAAAGTATGTACAGTAAAGTACGGTTATAGCGAACTAGTAGGGACCAAGCAAAGAAGTTCGTTAAATGTAGGATAAGGCAAAACACAGGTTTATCTGAAAAAATATAGGGCAAACGCAACTAATTCCGGCATGTACCAATAGTCGGATCTGTTCTATATAACTTCAAATAACTAAAAAAAATCCTATAACTAAATATGAAAAATACCTTGAATAATCTTCAATAACACTGCCATAAAATTTAATCGTGCTAGTACATTTATTCAGTCAAAATTTGGCATTTGGTCAACGAGGTTTGTCAACACTAGCGATAATTCATGTTTCTTAAGAAAAAAATTAGTGTACATGTCGATTTCAAAAGACTTGTAACTATATTAATATTATATATTTTTTGGAAGGATCTTCTTCGTAATTGTGAAGTACAGAAGAAGAAAATATGACGATCTTAGGAACAAAAAAATTTTAAGGTTTTCCTATAGTCGACATATGGGTAAATATTTGGCATTTGGTCAACGAGGTTTGTCAACACTAGCGATAATTCATGTTTCTTAAGAAAAAAATTAGTGTACATGTCGATTTCAAAAGACTTGTAACTATATTAATATTATATATTTTTTGGAAGGATCTTCTTCGTAATTGTGAAGCACAGAAGAAGAAAATATGACGATCTTAGGAACAAAAAAAATTTAACGTTTTCCTATAGTCGACATATGGGTAAATAATAAGCACCTTTTCGATCAATTTGAAAAATGTTAAATAAGTGCTCTAAATAACGATTAATTTATAGAAATCAGTTTTGTGTGATTTTACATAATGGAAGATATGGTTTCAATCTTAAATTATTTTAATTGAAATGCCTTATTCAGCCATGCCGAGAATTGGATAAAAAGTTCCCGAAGTCGGCACCATGTTTTATAATTGTAATATTTTAATAAATAAAATTATTTTATATAATTTTTTAATACAACACTAATGGAAACGTCCGATAATAACAATTTATTAATGAAAATAGCAGAAAAATTAATTATAATTTTAACTAATTTATTTTTTTAACTAAAATACGACATGCCGACAATTGGAAAAAAATGCTAACATAAGTGTGTTAATTTAGACTCACTTTTGTTAAGGCCGTCCTCAGTTCTGCTCATAGCCGTATTGGGTTATGTGTTCATCAGGCATATTGGGCTATGTGGCTTTACAAAGGCCGTATGTTGATAATTTGTATTTATATTGCAGTTGATGCGATGTTTCATCTGCGAATTAAATTCAAATTTATCAAGGTCCACTCTTGAAACACCCCTTTTCAAATGAGATTTTTGTTGTAACGATGAATAATTAATCCATACCACTACAATTGAACCTATGAGTTTCCGTTTGTTTTTCCGAAGGTTATAAACATGTGTATACCTAAGGACAAGAAAAAATACATATAAAGTGCCGGTCGGCTAATTAGCACACTTCTGAAGGGAAAAATGTTGTGTGAGAACAGAACATTATCACGGGAATATTGTGATATATAACGGTATTTATGAAATAAGTCAAATATGAGGGGGACAGGTAATTACCGCATCTTGAAATTTTTAACTTAAATGCCGTTTATAGTAAAAATATATGCAAAAGCTAACAAATTAAGTCTAACAAAATTAACAAATTAAGTCAGATGAATCATTTTCAGAAGAAAAAAGTTTAAACAATTTTGTAAAATCTATTTAAATTGGCAACAATTCGTACTGTAAACCTAAAATTGGAAAAGTCAGCCTTTGTATAAAAAATAAAGATGCGAATGGCCCAGAAATTGCTAGAATAACTAGAGATCGATAAACATTTATAAAAATAAACAAAAATTCAAAAGACAGAAATTCACTTGAAGGCCACCTTTGACTCCGAAAGGCTTCGAGGAAGAAAACCAGTATATTTGTGGGATATGGGAGGAAATATCAATTTGCAATGAAAATTGATATGTCAAATCAGTTGTTTGAATAGAACAACAAAGAATTTTTCGTTTCCCCCATTTCCCCACCAGATGTTTCAGTGGTGTCGTACGCCGATGACTGTTCGATTATTTCGTCCGGCGTTAACATTGACGACGTAAGTGCAAGAATTTCCAACTATCTAGCCACCATCACCAACTTCTTCCGGGAGCGCAATCTAAAATTATCCACTGCAAAGTCTACCGTGTCTCTTTTCACTTCCTGGACGCGAGAAGTCAATCTAGAACTTGACATTTCCGTTGAAGGTAGGCGCATCCCCACCGTCCATAATCCGAAAATCCTTGGGGTGGTCTTCGATAGCCTCCTTCATTTCTCCTCGCATTCCAATTACATCAACCAGAAGGTGAAAGCTAGGAATAAAGTTCTGAAAGCTTTGGCTGGCACCTCCTGGGGCAAGGATAAAGAAACGCTGGTAACGACTGGTGTCACTTTTCACTTCCTGGACGCGAGAAGTCAATCTAGAACTTGACATTTCCGTTGAAGGTAGGCGCATCCCCACCGTCCATAATCCGAAAATCCTTGGGGTGGTCTTCGATAGCCTCCTTCATTTCTCCTCGCATTCCAATTACATCAACCAGAAGGTGAAAGCTAGGAATAAAGTTCTGAAAGCTTTGGCTGGCACCTCCTGGGGCAAGGATAAAGAAACGCTGGTAACGACTTATAAGGCTATAGGTCGTTCCATCCTGAATTATGCTGCCCCAGTCTGGACTTCTTTCCTTAGCGACACACAATGGAGATCATTGCAAACTTCCCAAAATAATGCACTCCGAATTGCAACCGGGTGTGTCCAGATGACGAGCGTCGATCACCTCCATGAGGAGACCAGGATGCTGTCAGTCAAGCAACATAATGTGTTGTTGACTAGACAGTTCCTGCTGGCATGCTATCTGCCGTGTCATCCTAACCATCACACTGTGATGGCAGATCCACCTCCGCGACACATCCGCCAGGACTTCAGGCGCTATCGTGATGACATCCAAGACGTCATTCCATCGGACGTCAACAGATTGTCGATAGCGAACGCGATGAAATCCGTGCATCAACTGGCGGTCTCCGATGCCATAAATGGCTACAGATGCAATAAAGTCCTACAACAACATCCTCCTGCAATTTCGGAAAGTGAGAGGCTTCTTCCTAGGCAAACCCGTTCAATTCTGGCACAACTAAGGTCCGGATACAGCAATGTACTCAACTCGTATCGAGAGCGCATTGTCCCCGGAACCCTAAACAGGTGTCCCTCCTGCCAGCAAAGCCCTCACGACACACACCATTTATTGTCCGTCCGAGCCTACGAGTCTATTGCCCATAGACTTAAGGCTAAAGCCATTAGAGGTGGCACAATTTCTCCGGCTACCCTCTTCAAATCCGAATTCCTAATTAATTAATATATTTTCCTTTTCCTTCTTCCGTTTTCTTCTATCAACATTTTCAGGAAAGAACTTTCGTCAACAGCCAACCTGTTACAACAACAACAACAAAGAATTTTATCAAAAAAAAATAAATAAAAAAATATCAGTCGAAACTAAAAGATCATGGATATAGGACTGTGTTGACACGTATAAGTCTAAATCACACAGCTGAGATTTTGTTGATAGACTCAAATTCTTTAAATTTTGACTGAATGTAAAGTTCTTCGTTCGGATAGGCTAAAATCGATTAAATGGACATCATTCTATCTAAAAAAAAAAACATAATTTTTTGATAATATTGTGGTATTTCCACATATTTTAATCAACCTGAGTAGATCAGCAAAATCTTAGATGTGTCCTGTTGACTTCTGCTGGTCAACATACCTCAGTATCCACTCATTCATAATTTTTGGTACATAGGTTAAGGAAAATATACCAAAAGTTATAGTGGTTTTAAATCTTAATTTAAAACGAATGGACTTTACTATGCAAAAACCTTAAAAATGGTTAAAATGACGCAACGTGCATACGATTTTTATGCGCATCCCATTTCAGTAATCTCCAATGAAAATACACAAAAGTACACATATTTTAAAAGAATTGGTTAAACGCGGATGTGCCGCCAAAATCAATTTTGGATAAAATATGCGTACCGATGTATTTTTGACCTATTTT